AAAAAAAAAATTGCTAAGGCCAATATTATTAGCCCTTAACTCTTAAGAAATGATCTGTCTGATTGGCTACGGAACAAACCACTGTTGTCCAATGACTTGCCTAACTAACCTAACTTGCCTAATTAAACTAATTAATCCTCTAAGCCTTTAAATTACACTGTAAGCTGAGGATTAGTATCTTTCAAAAAAAAAAAAAAAAGTAAAATAATATTAGTTTAAAAAAATTAGTTTAGACTTGAGAAAAAGAATTGTTAATGCTCACAAAAGAGGAGAAGCATATACACGTTTATCAAAGCGTTTTCAAGTGTCAAGAACAGCCGTGAGAAGCATTATCAAGAAGTTTGAAAAGACCCACACAGTGGAGAACAGGCAGGAAGTGAAAGATTTCAAAAACTTTGTAAAGAAAACTATTGAGAGTGGTTCCTAAAGACCCAAGAGCAACTGCCAAGACACTAGTGAATTATTTAGTCAAGTCTGGGATTGATATCTCAACAAAGACGGACACTAGAGGCCCGGACAGGAATGGACTGTGAGGTTGCCGACCAAGAAAAACTCCTCTTCTGAAGAAGAGACACTTCCAAGCTAGACTGAAGTTTGAAGGACAACCTGGAAAAAAACTATGTATACTAGAAACGTGTCCTTTGGTCAGATAAGACAAAATTCGAGCTCTTTGGCCATAGAGATGTTGCCTATGTTTGGAGTAAGAAGGGACAGGTGCTCAACCCAAAGAACACCATCTCCAGAGTGAAACATGGAGGTGGGAGTGTAATGCTGTGGGGATGTTTCAGTGCGTTTGGAACTGGGAATCTCGTCAGAAGATGGTCGTCATTAAAACGGAAGACTACGAGAAGATTTTGAAAGACAACTTCAGGCAATCTGCAACAAAAGATGGTTCGGGTCAACGTTTTGTCTTCCAGCATGATAGCGACGCAAATCATACCAAAATCATGCAAATCATACAAATGAGCAAAGTGAACGTCCTTGACTGGCCTGCACAAAGCCCAGACTTGAATCCAATAGAAAATCTGTGGGGCTCACTGAAGACCAGAGTCCATGCCATGTAATGGAAAAACCAAGTTAGTACAAAGACAAAAAACAAACAGGAACTAATAAAAACGAAAGAAACACAACAAAATTACTAAAATTCTAACTAAAGTTAAAACGGAAGATATAAAAATGAAAACTCATTCAAAATAATGATAAAAAATAAAATAGTCTCTTAATCATACCAAAATAACATTGGTAAGGACACAGTAAAAACAGACTAATGTACCTCTTCTGCATTAGCAATGCACATGACATAGAGTTTGGAAGGGAATGGGAACGGCAGTGGAAATTTCTTGTCCTCCACACGTTGTTTCACTGTTTGCAGGGAATGACGCAAAGATCCACGACCAATGCCAAGTGCACCATCTGTAACCAGTACCACCTACAGGCCACCATAAGAACAACATAAACACTGATAAACAACATCAATGCAGTCAAATCAAAACATTTCGAATTATATATAAAAAATAATTATCTGTAGAAAATAGAATGGAACAATTATCTCAATTGTATATATATATATATATATATATATATATATATATATCTCCAGAGTGAAACATGGAGGTGGGAGTGTAATGCTGTGGGGATGTTTCAGTGCGTTTGGAACTGGGAATCTCGTCAGGGTCAAAGGAATCATGAAAACGGAAGACTACGAGAAGATTTTGAAAGACAACTTCAGGCAATCTGCAACAAAAGATGGTTCGGGTCAACGTTTTGTCTTCCAGCATGATAGCGACGCAAATCATACCAAAATCATGCAAATCATACAAATGAGCAAAGTGAACGTCCTTGACTGGCCTGCACAAAGCCCAGACTTGAATCCAATAGAAAATCTGTGGGGCTCACTGAAGACCAGAGTCCATGCCAGGAGACCAACAGATCTGGAGGAACTTGAGAGATTTGCTGAGGAGGAATGGGTTGCAACTCCTCAGGAGACATGCCTGAAATTGCTGAGAACTACAAGTTTTATGTTATGTTTTATGTGAACTACTGTTATCAAGCAAAAGAGATACACCATTGACTATTAACATAAGAGGGCTAATAATTTTGGCCTGTAGACTTTTCTTATTCTTGGTTATAATTTTGTTTCTATTTGTATTACAAACATTCCCAAGCTTCCTAAATAAACTATTATGTTTAGAAATGATGTGTTGAAAAAAAATCTTCTCTCTGTTAAACAGCACTTGGGAATTATTAAAAAAATAATGAAATATTTTATAGGGGGCTAATAATTTTTTCTTTAATTGAAATAAAATAGTATCTCAATCATACTAAAATAACATTGGTAAAGACAGTGAAACCAGACTAAAGTACCTCCTCTGCATTTGCAATACACATGACATAGAGTTTGGAAGGGAATGGGAAAGGCAGTGGGAATTTCTTGTCCTCCACTCGTTGTTTCACTGTTTGCAGGGAATGACGCAAAGATCCACGACCAATGCCAAGTGCACCATCTGTAACCAGTACCACCTACAGGCCACCATAAGAACAACATAAACACTGATAAACAACATCAATGCAGTCAAATCAAAACATTTAGAATTATATATAAAAAATAATTATCTGTAGAAAATAGAATGGAACAATTATCTCAATTGTATATATATATATATATATATATATATATATATATATAATCTGTGGGGCTCACTGAAGACCAGAGTCCATGCCAGGAGACCAACAGATCTGGAGGAACTTGAGAGATTTGCTGAGGAGGAATGGGTTGCAACTCCTCAGGAGACATGCCTGAAATTGCTGAGAACTACAAGTTTTATGTTATGTTTTATGTGAACTACTGTTATCAAGCAAAAGAGATACACCATTGACTATTAACATAAGAGGGCTAATAATTTTGGCCTGTAGACTTTTCTTATTCTTGGTTATAATTTTGTTTCTATTTGTATTACAAACATTCCCAAGCTTCCTAAATAAACTATTATGTTTAGAAATGATGTGTTGAAAAAAAATCTTCTCTCTGTTAAACAGCACTTGGGAATTATTAAAAAAATAATGAAATATTTTATAGGGGGCTAATAATTTTTTCTTTAATTGTATGTATGCACAAAGTAACATTACTCACCCAAACATAGACTGGACACTTTTAAGACAAAGGGGTCCATCCATAGTGTATATCTGACCCTCTCCACCATTCAAATTAATCAGCTGCTCTAGGTGCTGTCAAACGATTAATCGCATCCAAAATAAAAGTTTGTTTACATAATATATATGTGTGTACTGTGTATATTTATTATGTATATATAAATACACACACATGCATGTATATATTTCAGAAAAACATGTTGTTTATATATTAAATATATTTATATACAATATCAATTGTAATTACATGTACATATTTTCAATATATATACTGTATGTATGCATATTTATACATACATAATAAATATACAACGTACACACATATATATTATGTAAACAAAAACTTTTATTTTGGATTAATTGCGATTAATCGCTTGACAGCACTAATCTAAATGTATAACGTACATTACTGTATATACTACATTGTACTGTACACTGACATTGCATAACACTGTATTTCATACTATATTCTGGTTATTCAAATATGTATATATAAGTGTACTCAGGGGCGCCTTAAGATAACCAGAGGTCCCTGGGCTACAGCGTTACAGTAGGCCCCCCCTTCCCTAAATAACTTTTTGTTTAAGCTTCCTGACAATTATTTGTCATATTTCGATTTTTTTTCCCTTGTTGATATGCCAGTTAACATTCATAACACTGTTCTGAGTAAAATGTGAATATAAGTGAATATGCAAATTCATTCCTTGCCAGAAGGTGGCGCTTGTGGAACAGTTGCATAAAGTAAACATTATGTTATTACAGGCATTATATGGAGGTAATATGAAAAGAAAATGCAGGGCTCCAGACTGCGATTTTTTCTGCCTGTGCGACTAAATTTTGTGAGCGGTTGGTCACACTGGTGCGACCACCGCGTTGTTTAACTCATAAGCGCTGCCATTTCTGTTGCATATGTGAAACATCAAACGGCAAACGAAACTGAAAGCATAACGAAACTGCACTACTCATTTGAGCTGCGCAGCGCTTAGAGAGTAGAGCCTGGTTTATACCCGCCGCGTCAGCACGAGCGCGAAGGTGCGCGCAGCAAAAATGACGCGAATATTGAGGAAACGATGGATGGTTTTCATGCTAAAGTAAAGTAAAAGACCGCTTCTTAAACCAAAGGTGAACATGTTGGTATTCTTGTGGGGGGAAAAACATGCAAGCACTGTCACCAACAGCAAGTTTAGTTTTACTTTTCTTTTAGTTTTCATTTGTTTTCATCTTTGCTGTTTACCTCATGATATGCTATGGAGGCTCTCTTTTATTTATTTTTTATTTGATTTCTCAGTGTTTGCTAAACGTTCTGTAATTTATTAGTCTGTATATAATACAGCATGTGGTGTATGCCATGCCTCATCTTATTCATTTTTGTTAATAAACATTTTGCAAGCTTGTTTGTCATTGTATCTTACGGTTTTATTGTTGTTGTACTTTTTTAATTAAGAATAGCAATGAATCCATCTTTTGTTTTAGTCTTAAAAAGTGAAAGGTATAGATGTAAGCAAAACAGACAATTATCTTTTCTTGTAAACCGTGACAACAAGATCGCAAATTCAAAAGCGAAAGCATCCGAAGCCCGCTGCTTATAACATAGCAAAAGAGGAACTCCTGTTTACAAAATTCAAATAACAAATAATAGCCTACTAATAATGAAAAAGAACAGGTTGAATGTTAACCATTTTCATTTCCATATAACTATAAACTATGATAAAATTCATCAGCACGCATTGATTAATCCCATCTTGTAGCAAAAACAAAAAACAAACAAAAAAAAAACAACAATTGCGACCAAATCATGTGCTCATGCGACCAACTGAGAAAGTTAGTCGCAAAAGAGTGACCAGTGGGAAGAATGAGTCTGGAGCCCTGATGATGCTGTTTTGTTTATAGTTGTTTAAGCAACTTAATTATAATTGGTTTATAAACATTATTTTAAACATT